TAATTTATGCTTACTTTGTGTAATTTATACTTACTTTGTGTAATTTATGCTTACTTTGTATAATTTATACTTACTTTGTATAATTTATACTTACTTTGTGTAATTTATACTTACTTTGTGTAATTTATACTTACTTTGTGTAATTTATACTTACTTTGTGTAATTTATACTTACTTTGTGTAATTTATACTTACTTTGTGTAATTTATACTTACTTTGTGTAATTTATACTTACTTTGTGTAATTTATACTTACTTTGTGTAATTTATACTTACTTTGTGTAATTTATACTTACTTTGTGTAATTTATACTAACTTTGTGTAATTAATACTTACTTTGTCTAATTTATGCTTACTTTGTGTAATTTATACTTACTTTGTGTAATTAATACTTACTTTGTGTAATTTATGCTTACTTTGTATAATTAATACTTACTGTGTGTAATTTATACTTACTTTGTATNATACTTACTTTGTGTAATTTATACTTACTTTGTGTAATTAATACTTACTTTGTATAATTTATGCTTACTTTGTATAATTAATACTTTGTGTAATTTATATTTACTTTGTGTAATTAATACTTACTTTGTGTAATTAATTACACAAAGTAAGTATTAATTACACAAAGTAAGCATAAATTACACAAAGTAAGTATAACTTACACAAAGTAAGTATAAATTAATACTTACTTTGTATAATTAATACTTACTTTGTGTAATTTATGCTTACTTTGTATAATTTATGCTTACTTTGTATAATTAATACTTACTGTGTGTAATTTATACTTACTTTGTTTAATTTATACTTACTTTGTGTAATTTATGCTTACTTTCTATAATTAATACTTACTGTGTGTAATTTATACTTACTTTGTATACTTAATACTTACTTTGTGTAATTAATATTTACTTTGTGTAATTTATACTTACTTTGTATAATTTATACTTACTTTGTGTAATTAATACTTACAAGTGTTGAAATGCGCTCCACTCTACTAAATCGTGTCGAATCGTTGTTCCTGAAAGAGGTAAATATTAATTAAACAATCCCTACTACCCATGGTTTGTGTGGAATGTTGTTTTAATTAAGATCTATGTTATTACTTTCCTCTTCCTATGCCTTCGTATTTATAATTGTGTTATCCTCTTTTTTTATGTTGGATAGATATGTTTCTGCTGTGATATGCGGTTTTAGTCCGAATCGTATGTCTTCTATTTCACAAACATCAATTTCCAAATGACTAAGAATCACTGAACATATCTTAATAATTAACGATCGTAAAATTAGTAGGTTTTCCAGTTCACTTGAACGACAATGTAATCGTGAACGTAATAAACATAAATATGCAACGAGTTCTAATTGAAATGAAAACCATTACGAATGTTCCAAACCAGAAACTTCTCGCAGAAGCAAGTTTTGTGGCGTCCATTTTGTCCCATCAGCAAACAGAAGCTGCACCAGTGCTGCCAGTACCATGATACACTTTCGTACCAAATATGAGTAAAATGGACATTATTTATATTTCGACCAACCAGAAGCTATTACATGACGGCCATTATACCCAGTCACAAAGAAAGACCCAGTACTGCTGGCTGTACAATTTATGCAATGAATACAAATACCATATACACTGATCAATACAACTTTGAGGCATTCACAGGAGCTCCCTTATCACGCGCTACGTACCTACTAGTCCTATGTCACCTGACTTATATCTCCATATGTGCGTAAGCCTGCTTGTGTGCTGGGGATGTATTCGGTTTTGGACTGGAGACATTACTAGGTCCGGGATGCATGGTATTGACCTGGAGACATTACCCAGTCCGGATTAAATGGTATTGGACTGAAGACTTTACCTGGTCCGACTTACATGATATTAGAATGGAGATATAACCTGGTCCAGAACGACATGGTATAGGAATTACCGAGTCTAGAAAAAACAAAGTATTAAACTTTACCTGGTCCGGAATTCATGGTATTGGACAGTATACATCACCTAGACCGGAGTACATGGAGTTGGTCTGGATACATTACCTGCTCCGGAATTATTTGATATTGGACTGCAAACATTACTAGGTCTGGAAACCATGGTATTTGACTGGAGACAATAACTGGTCCGGAATGCATGTTATTGGACTGAAGACATAACCTTGTCCAGATTACATGGTATTGGACTAGAAACATTACCTTGTCCGGAATAACATAATATTGGACTTGATACTTTACCTGGTCCGGAATAAAATGGTTTTGGACTGGAGACATAACCTTGTCCGGAATAAAATATTTTAGTTGAGACTTTACCCGGTCTGGAATTACATGGTATTGGACTAGAAACATTAACTTGTCCGGAATAACATGATATTGGACTTGAGACGTTACCTGGTCCGGAATTCAAGCTGCATTCCTCTGTACACCTTATGGTCGACAACGTCTTCAAAATCCGCCATGAAATCTGTCTTGACTTGAGCTTTGAATCCTGGGTAGTGGGTCACCCATGACACTGTCCTGTCAGGATCGTTCCGATCAGCAGTTGCATTTATCATCCTAAATTGTAGAATTAATACGAAATAATAATGAGTTCAATGTACCGTCTGTTTTTACCAGCATCGTATATCAGAACCTGTAGTTATGTAGAAAGTAAGGGGACTGTTCGTCTCAAACAACAAACAAATAGTTTTCGTGCTTCAAACAACGGTACAAGACTCTACATCAATCGCAGTATTAGAACTTCAATTGGAATGGGAAAAAACCAAATGTGCCAATAATTTAGAAGAGTCAGTTTGTAGTATATAAGATATAACACAATTTATGCGGAAATCAGGTTACAAAGTTAAAGCAGTGAGAAAGATCATACTCACTTTAAATTCATGTCAATGACAGTGAACATTTACATCATTTTATGACATTTCAATGGGAAAGAAGTTTATAATACTGTATTAAATGTCATAGGCCGACAATTGTTCTCTCATCTTTCATTACGTGTCCCGTGTCATTAGGAGAACGTAGGTTATATCGCTCTCGTTACGTGTCCCGTGTCAATAGGAGGACGTAGGTTATATCGCTCTCATTACGTGACCCGTGTCATTAGGAGGACGTAGGTTATATCGCTCTCATTACGTGTCCCGTGTCATTAGGAGGACGTAGGCTATATCGCTCTCATTACGTGACCCGTGTCATTAGGAGGACGTAGGTTATATAGCTCTCATTACGTGTCCCGTGTCATTAGGAGTACGTAGGTTATATAGCTCTCATTACGTGTCCCGTGTCGTTAGGAGTACGTTGGTTATATCGCTCTCAATACGTGTCCCGTGTCATTAGGAGGACGT